GGACTGTTGTTCCTGGTGGTCCTTAGCAAAGCATCCTTAAAGGGGCCCTATAAGCAGTCTCTGTCCATGCCCGGTAGTGAGAGCACTGGGACATGGAGAGGAGAGTGTCACATTAGCCGGTCTGGGCGGTGCCACGTGTGACATTGGAAACACAAAGGTGGCAGCTGTGTTTCCTGGGGGTCTATGGTTGCAAAGGAGACTCCTCTCTTCCCCGATGGACTTAGTATTGATTATATTGAAGGGTGAAAACTTAATTAAAGATCCAAATGGGTCTCGCTGGGGTTTGGTGGAGTTAGGTGGAAGGAAGAAAAATGTTTTAAAAGGTTTTCATTTCGAATTTTGTGTGTTTTTTTTCCTTCCTTTCTTTTCCTTTTATAATAGTAGTAATAGTAGTATAATAAAGTTTTTTCCTTTATTATTAAGTTTGGCCTGCTTTGCTCTGTCCTTAATCACATTTCACAGCATTTAATTAATAAATTATATTTTCATGGGGCGCTGGCATTGTGCCAGCGTCAAACCATGACACCAGGGTGCTTAGTAGATCCTCTAGTGTTAACCAGACAAGTACCTTCTGCTAAATTTGCTACCCAGTGCTTCCATGCCCAATTACCTAACCCTTTTAACAGTCCTTAGCAGTCCATCATACCTCTCAATCTTTCCAGAGGCTCGTGGGTGATATATCCACTCATTGCATGTTTCCTTGCCCAAGAGTTTATGAAGTTATTTTGAAAATGATTCCCAATGTCTGATTCCATTTTTTCTGGAGTACCATGTCACAAAAAAAAAAAAAGTGCCTTTCAAGGCTTAAGATAGTGTTTCAAGCAGTGGCATGGTTTACAGGGTATGTTTCTGTCATCATTGGCCCAAGAATGACACAAGAGCAGACGAGGAGACCACGTGAAAAGGAATAAAAGAAGGCTTTAATGAAAGGGAAACTTTGGCTTAAATAGACTGACACGACACATTCTATTTGATTGGTTAATTAATAAAAACATCTTTTCCACACACTGTTCTTGAGAAGAACAGAAAAGCAAAGTGGAAAAACACCACCTGCATATTATTTAGATTAACAAGTTATCACATTCCTACAGCTCCCTAAAAATTCTCACAAGCCACTGTGACAAATGATTACTGTTTCTCTCTCCCTGACCAGGCTGGCATCCACATGTTTCCAACCAACCAGCGACACCACTGGAACCAGGAGTGGTAGCTATATTTGTTCTTTTCTATATTTTTTCTCTTTCTTCTTCTAATTCCCTGTTCTCAGAGTTTTGAGTAACTTAAAATCAGATGGGCTTGGAGTTTGCTAAATTAAATGGGCTAAGTTAATGCTTTGTGAAATGTTTTATGTTGATTGAAAGTTGCTTTAAACTTTTTCCAAAGTTCTCTGATTGTCTGAAGTTGCCAGTAAAGACTGTTGTTGTTTTGACCTCTTGAGAATATTTTGTTGATATTTCTGCCATGCATCTAACTCAGAGTCCATGAAAAACCATAAGCCCTTTTAAGTCTTGTCAACAACATTTTTTGGGGCCTTACACCACGTTGCCTGTCAAGCTCCTCTTAACACACTTACTTGTCTAAGGAAATCTTCCCACTGGGTACACTTGCAGCTATGACATTGACTGCTGCCTTTGGGCCCTAAGAGGGGACTTCAAGGTACCAGAGCTCTTGCCCTGCCCTTTGCTCATTGACCCAGTCTGTCACTCCCTCACAAGGCAGCTGGTTACTCTCTTCCTCTCCCTGCCCTTGCCCTCATTCTTAAAGCCCTCCTAATGAGGTCAGATATCCTTCTGGCAAAAACACCTTTGACTTGCTTAGTGAGGAGGAGCCCCTCTCTCCCAAGCAGATGCTGATCCACAGGGTCCCATGCTCATAGAACCCAAAACCCTGTTGCCAGCACCAGCTCTGCAGCCAATTATTGACACACATGATCAGTGCCCTCCTCCTCTTGCCCTTTCCTCTCAGTGGCAGAATTAAGGAGAACACCCCCTGGACCTCCGTGTCCTTGACTACTGCCTTCAGAGCTCTGGGGTCATTGCTAGGGGAAAGCTGGTGTCACAGATGTGCTTCTCCTCTTCCCCTGTTTGAACTATATGAAATTTGGTCCAGGCAAATGCTCAACAAGTAGGACCGGAATTCAATAAATGAGCTACTTGATAAGATTTGTCAAAATGATCTCTGACTGTTCTGCAACACCAGGAGACCATCGAAAACATCTGTGGTGGGTTGACCTTGGCTGGATGCCAGGTACCCACTGAGTAACTTTATCACTCCCCCTTCTCAGTTGGACAGGAGAGAGAAAATAAGATGAAAAACAACTCACAGGTTGAGATAAGGCAGTTTACTAAAGCAAAAGCGAAAGTTTGTATGTAAACATGCAGACATGGAAAAAAATTATTGTCTAGTTCCCACCAGCAATGGCTGTCTGTCCACTTCCTGGGAAGCAGGGCTTCCTTCAGCAAGCGTAGCAGTTGCTACAGAAGGCAAGCATTGTAAATAACAAATGCTTCCCCTTCCTCCTCCTTTACTTAGCTTTTATATGACAGCTGATGGCATACAGTATGAAAAATCCCTCGGGCCAATTTGGGTCAGCTATTTTGGTTGCATCTCCTCCCAAGACCTTGCCAGCCCCAGCCTACTGATGATGGGGTAGAATTGTTGGAGAGACAGCACTGATGCTGGGCCAACACTGCTCAGCAGTAGCCAAAACACTGGGGTGTGATCAACACCTTTCTAGCTACCAGTGCAAAGCACAGCACTGTGAGAACTGCTATGGGGAAATGAACTTCATCTCAGCCACACCTGATACAGCATTATTGGGGCCTGATACTCAGCTTTGGGTGTCCTTTGCTGCTGAAATTGCAGTTATAGAAGACAGATTGGTACCTGCTCTTCATTCAGTCCCAATCCTTCCAAACAAAAGGGTCAGAAACAACATCACCAGCATTACTTATTATCCTTTTACCCTTCACATCCTCAAGGCATTGCCTTCTATAAGAAGACCCTGTCTTAATCAAGTTTAGCCAGACCAACCTCATATCTCCTCCATGACCTCTTTATAGCTGGTCCTGGGTATCCAACACACACAGAGCACCCAATAGGCTCTACTCAGTGGCATCCCTTTGCATGCAACAGTTCCAGATCTTTGCCACTTCTATTAGCAAGTGAGAAAAAAATGGAGACTAGATCCTTTTTCTCACAAGAACCGCTTATTGCTCAGAAAGAAGGCTTTTTCCATTGAAACTTCCCCCTCTCAAAGTGACTGGATCCCCAGATATTGATGGAATTTGCTGCTTCCAAAAAGTTCTGTTCCTATCCCGGTTACTTATCAGTCTCTAAACCACCAACCTCCTTCTACTTCTACATGGACGAACCTGCCTTTTAGGCTTTCTGATGCCAGATCTCAGGTGGCTGCCAGGGGCCCAAACAGCTGTTCTCTCATCGCCCCTCCTCAACAGGACAGGGGACAAAATAGGATGAAAAAGTTACTTCAGGACATAGCCACCTTCCAGATCCAAGGGCAGCAGGGAAGTACCTGCCCTGGACAGCATTTTGCCATTTCTTAAATATGCTTACACAGGGGTGCCACCAGCTTTGCCAAGTTGTTCAGATTCGGCCCTCAAGGAGTCTGTTGCTTAGCTGGCAGAAACTAGCTGTGTCCAGCATAGGGCAGACCCTGGCCTCTTCTCACAGAGGCCATGCCTGCAGGCAGAACCTGGAGTGCTGTGTCCAGTTCTGGTCCCCAGAATTCAATAAAAAGATGCAGACAGATGGAAGAAGGTCCCAAGGAGGGCAACAAAGATGATCAAAAGACCAGAGAATGTGAGGAAAGGTTGTAAGAGTTGGGTCTTTTCTCCCTTAGAAAATACATGGCTCAGGAGGAACATCATGACAGCATTCTGGCTCTCAAAAGGCAGCTACAGAGAGGACAGAGGCTCTCTTCTTCATGAGGAGCAACATGGAGAAGACTCAAGCGGAGGGTCCTCCTTATTCTTTTTTATCCACACTCTTCCATCCCCCCACCAAGCCTCAACATAGACAATTTTTGATTTTATTTTAGTTTTAGATTGATTGATTTTAGATTTTAGTTTGCTTTTTCTCTTAGTGCTTTGACCATCTGGTAAGAAGTAGAGTAAACCTTGCCAAAGAACTTTGTGACACTTTCACTTTTATATTAAACCTGCTTTTGTCAATACCTTTGCCGGCAATTCTTTACGCAACCTAAAACACTCATTCTCAACAAGTTGGTTTAGTCAGCAGGCTGGCAAGCAATAGCACTGACTACTTACAGAAGCAGGGAATAATTCCAAGTTATCAGATAACTTTGCTTGGGAAAACTTCCATGACTGGAAAGCTGTAGAGGAACACCTAAAAGCAGCAAGGGGCTGCATGAAGACTAGAAAAGACAAAGGAATTAATTTCAAAACATTAGGCACCTGCCTAGGCTCAGTGGGAGCCTCATCACAGTATTCTAGTACTTAAAGGGAAGATAGAGAGGATGGAGAATCTCTTCACACAGAGCCACGTGGAGAAGATAAGGAACAATAGGCAGAGGTTGTACCAGTCCCCATTGCTGGAGGCTTTCAAGATGTGATTGGACAAGGTGCTAAATAATCTCATCTAGGCTCCCTTTCCCACAAAAGGCTGCACCAGAAGATCTTTTGAGGTCCCTTCACACATGGGCTGCTCTAGGATCCTATGATTCTCCAGTGAAGCAGTTTCATAACCCTTGGCTCTCTCCAGTTTGAAGGAAATTTTTGGCAATGTAGGATGAAAGGCAAAACGTACTGCCAAAACCGCCAAAGAGCTAAGACTGCTACCTACCAGACTCAGGAGACTGCTAAGTGCTTCCAGGGACACAGGGGCTTCAAATTAACAGGCAAATCACTATCAATGGAATGCTGTTATCTGGCTGAAACATTCCACATACTTGCATTTCAGGGAGTCAGCATTTGACCTTGCAGAACTACTTCCCCTCAGTAAGACACGCAACACGGAGGTGATATCCCCATGACAAATCTTTATTGTGCAACTGCTGCTCAAAGCTTTTATTACCTTCCACAGACACACGGCACAAAGAATTAAACATTGACAGCGGCTAGACTGATGGGCAAGAGACGAAATCCATTCAGTGGCAATTTGTACATGTGCAGCAACTCTCGTGGTGCCAAAATCTTAGCCAGGCGGCCAGCCCAACAGATGGCCACCCAGAACAGGTAGATGTATGCGATAGACAGACTGCCCACCCTCGGGCCCTTCATCCACAACCATCCGGAATCCATTGGTCAGGCCCAGGTGAGCAACACACATCTTGCCAACAATCATTACATGCCCAAGAAGCTGGAGAAGGAAGTACAAACTCATAAATAAGTAAAATAAAAATGAAAAAGGAACACACAAATAGGGGAGAGGGAAGGAAGGGAAGGAGTGAGCAGAGAATCACCCAGAGAAAGCACCTAGCCAATTCCTAGCAATTCAACCATTGCACTTCAAATTAATGTCGGTCCAACTGTCCGCAACCAACACTTTCCAAGCAAAGCTACAAAGACCAATTATGCATGCTATAGGGGGAAAAGAGAGCTAGGCTATTTTTTTCAAGACAGGCAGCAACAAGCTACAAAACAGCCACAGAAGCTGACTTTGTCTCTGGGTTAAAGCCCCCATTGTGTCTTCAGGCAACATAACCAACACTGGTGGAAAAGAAACTTTACGCTGCCTTTTGCATGGGTTTACAAAGTCTTTGAACTTGACTTTCATAGCCAAAAGCAAAGCATCCAACACCTGTCAACCATCTTTGTCCTTCCTTGCCCCTGACCTGCCAAAAACCCCAAGCCCTCTTCTCCATGTTAGAAGTACTACTACTCTTACTCTAAACCATGACAATAGGCACCAGACTGCACTCCAAAAAAAAACCACTGCATTTTACACCAGAAATACATACCCAGGGATGAGCACTGCTTTATATTAATGCTTTTAGTCAAAAAGCTCAACTCCATTACAAGCTAGAGGCAAAAGATTATAGCACCACAAAACTGAAAGGAGACTACCGTGTCCTATGAAGAGGGAAAGGGGAGATGAGAGAGTCTAGATAATGAGGAACTATCTACAGGTACAGTTTAGCATACAGAAAGCTTCCAAAATACTTACAGATTTACCAGAGTCTTCTGCTTCAGACAACCTGATAACTGGCTCCTTAGGCATGACTAGGAAAAGCATCCCAGCATGGGGTGAAAGATCATGGAACATGAGTCACTGGAGGAAGAGTAAACAGTTGAAACATAACCGGTTTCAGAGAAAGGTAACATCTTAAGCAAATCAACCTGCCCCACTGAACTCCTACAGAAGCAGATTACCAAATACCCCAAACACAAGCCAGAACATTGATTTTTCTTGTGCAATAGTAATGATTTCTATACCCAAAATACAATATATTTACAGACCCTGTTCCAAAAATGGGATTCAGCATGCAAGATGATGGAGGCAAGAGATGAGCCACTACTTTTGATTAGCAACCTCTAGTATGTTTTAATCCTAAGAAGTTTTTCTATTGGATATGGTTCATGCAGAGGCAGGAGACAAATAACTGAATTAGCAAAGAGTTTAGTGAAGTGAAAGAGCAGCGGCCATTCATTTCCCACAGGACAGGGAGCTCAAGTATCGAACACACGCATAATGACAGGAAACCTGCAAGTGCATAGGACGAGTCTGTCTTCTATACTACATGCAAGCTCTGCCTTTAAAAGCAGAAGGCATGCCGAACTGTTAACTTTCAGCATTTTAATAACTAAATTATATTAGATACTAAGTTAAAGTTAACATTGTATAGGCAACGGCTGCATTGTTTTCCCCCCAGTCTAAGCAGCTCACTCTCGTTCCCAGCAGCAGCATCCGTGACCATTGCAAGCATGCTGTTATTACGGTCCCACTTCCCCCCAGAAACAAGATCTGGGAAGCTTTTCAAGTCTGCAGAATGACCCGTTTCTCAATTGTTTTTTTTAAAAAGAAAAACCAGAAAAACCTGATATCCCTTGCCTAGTCCAATTTGGAGTTCAGAACCAAAGCCCAGGACAGCAGAGCTGTGAAATCTTTTTGATGCTATTACGAGGCACATCGAGACCTGCATTTTTCCTATGCAAACTCAACTCATTACGGTCATTACTCAGACATTCACTGGTTCACACACACACACGCGGAATCCCCGAGGAGATTGATTGAATGTGCCTAAAACAAACTTTCAAAACTATCATTCTATAAGAGGTAGCAAACTTTGCACGACTTGCAGCACCAAAGGGACATAATGCGGCAAACGTCTGCGGCTGACACCAAGTGCGCTACCATCGGACGTCCTTCTCTACGCGCGCACACGACACGGTGGGGGGTGGGATACGAGGCAAGCCGGAACAATACCAGCAAACCCAGTACACCCGCGGCAGCCGGAGGGGTGGGGGTGCGGCTCAGAACAAGTTTAGGGGATGGTGCAGTAAAGAGCGCCACAACCCAGAGAGGCCCCGTCCGTCCCCCGTCCCTGCACCCACTCACAGCAGCAGCACCCTGCCGCGCGCCCGGGCACCGCACACCGGTCCTCGGCTCAGGGAGAGGGAGGAGGGGGAAGGGAAGAAGAACCGCTCACAGAGCAAAAGCCGCTGCTACCTCTTCGTCCTCGTCGCTGATGATACCGGCGAAGTGCTTTGCCGATGATCTTTAGAAAGACAATAATGGCGCCACCAGACCGGACAAGCCAGCACGCCAACACTCTCGTCAGGCAAAGACAACGCCCAGTGCCGTCCCCGCACTTCCTCCACTCGGACAGGCCCTCCGCGGCTCCCATTGGGCCAACAGATCGCCGCCGACCGATCCTGCTTTTCGATTCGCTGCCTAGTCTGTCGTTTTCGCTTGTCTCCGCCCCCTTGGAGGGTCCGCCCTCGTCGAGCTGGTGCTGACCGGGGCTCAGGGAGTTTGCGTGCCCTCAGGGCGCGGAGGGATCCGACCTTGGCGAGTCCGCGGAGGGATCTGCCCCGTGTAGTGCTGCGACCCTGAGGGCCGGCTACGAGGTCGGAGAAGACGCTGTACTAGCTACAAGTACTGTTGCTTGTTATTTGTTACCGCATCAGGTCCACCCCAAAGGTGCCTGTGCCTTTTTGGTGCTGCTCCCTCCAGTCCAATGACTGCTTTGGCCAGGGCAGGGCAGGCCCGGCCTAACTTCTCAGGACATTTTGCAGAACCAACAGAAGTTGCTCTACATTTTTTGCTGCAAGCCCCACTTCAACTGCAGACATTTCTATGCTGCACAACTCCTGGAAGCAAATAAAATGCAAAGCGTGCGTTCAGCACTACTGGCTTGAGGGCTCAAAATCAGATGTATGCTAAGCTGTCTTTTAGAAAAATAGGGAATGCCCCCAAGGGTGGTCTGTGGTGCTTTGTACTCCCTGGGACAGTGAGCACTGAGTGGTCTACACAACTGTCTTGTAACATATATAAATCCTGCTTTCCTCTCTATTGGGCTAAGGGTATCCTTGGCCACCTTTGCAGTAATAGCACATTGTCCTGTTTAGCAAAGCTGCTCTCCAGCTGATGGGCCTCCAGCATTTACTGGTGCATGGCGTTGCGCCTCCCCAGGTGCAGGACATTTGAACATACAGGTTCCTCAGGTGGTCTCAAAACAGATTGTTATAGATGCATATTATATGATTGGCTTTTCGCAAATATTAAAATGGATACTATATGTGTTATGTTGGAAAGTCATGCTGTATTAATCTCGTTTAAGTAGTGTGGTAAATATATTTTTAGGCTATAGCATAATATAAAAATAGAAACTGTGATGTAAGATACTTTTGTAACTAGCTCAAGGAATGGATATGATAACAAAGAAATTCTTTGCATACAGACAACAGCATCAAGACACCAAAATCCAGAGAAGCATTATTGCCTCCTTATCGGGACTGTTCAGACTTCTTCCAGACTTCTAGGAGCCAAGAAATTTCTTTACAAGATGGGGGGGGGGGGGGGGGACAGAAACTAAGCAGAAGACATCCTTTGAAAAAGAATTTTTGAATAATGTATGAGATATATGAATATGTAACAGGTTATTGCTTTTAAGGGGTAATCCTTTGTTAGCAAGGTATGCTTTTGTGGCTTAGTGCCCAAAAGCATCCGGACATCCGTAATTCTTTGCTTTTTATTTTCCTTTTTTGTCCTAACTCTGATTGTTCAAATTCTTATTGCTCTAATTTTTATTACTATTTTTGTAACTATTTTATTACAATTAAACTTTTAAAACTTTAAAACAAGTGATTGTAATTTGTCACACTGATCATTTCCTACAATAGGAGGGACATGGTTCCCCCAGCGCCTGCCTTGAGGTTCAGGGTCTCGAGAGATTGTGGGAAGAGTAATTGCCAGTGAAAATTGGGGAAAATAAGTTGTTGAGTAAAACAGCCTTCTCCATGTTGCTTGTCACTAGATGTCCCAACTTATCATCAGGGGAAGTGAGAGGGATGGGAGTCACTGTCTTTAGTCTTCCTTTTCTGACCAACTCACCACTGGAAGCCCATCTTATGATTCTTCACATCCCTTGCCAAATTCATCTCCAGCTGTGCCTTTGCTTTCCTCATCTCATCCCTATGCACCTTAGCAGCATCTCTAGATTCTTCCCAGGATGCACATCCCTTCTTTCGCTGCCTATGTTTCCTCCTTGTGCTTCAGCTCAACCAGAAGAGAATGCCCTTGCTTATCCATGCTGGTGTCCTGCCTCTCTTGCCTGATTTCTTATGCATGGTGATCAAGAGCTATTTTGCGCTAAGAAAAATGCTCCTCAAGAACTTCCAGCTCCCTTCTGCTCCTGTATTGTCCCTGAGGGCAGTTTCCTACAGGGTGCCATCCACTGATTCTTTAAAGACCTGAAAGTTAACTGTCCTATATTTCAGGGTCTAGACTTTACTCTTTGCCTGTGAGTGGGATGCTTCCGGTGGTTGAATTAAGACTACTTCATTGACCTCTCCTTGATCAGGTGGCCTGTAGTAGATATCAACCACAAGGTTTCTTTTGTTGACTTGTGTGAGATGATGACCATGGATCCAGGCAAAAGCTAAGGCTTACTATCTATGGCCTACACCATGTACCCTCCATATTATTGTCTTGGTTTGAAAGACAGGTGTCTGCCAAGGAAGGCGAGAACCTCCCTTGGAATGGAAAATGTGACCTCCTCCTCTCCAAATTATAACTTTGAAATTACAGGGTTTTCAGGCAAAGATATGGGAAAAGAAATAACAGTTCCTTACTAGAATAAATATATAGATATAACAAGGCAAACAAACAGCACCAAGAAAAAAAACAGAAACCCAAAACCAGCCTTCTCGCATTCTTCAAGCACTTTTTGTCCATTGGTGTAGTTATGGTCACAGCTGACAGGAGCGCAGTTGGTTCCCGGCTGGGCAGGGCAGGTGCGATGATTCCCCGCGGCTACAGGGGGCGCAGTGGCACGAGCTCTGGCGTCATGATTCACTTGGTAATGGCAGGTGAGCCGGCGAGAGAGAGAGGGTGCTTTCCTTTGCAAACTCACAGGAAGCAGCTGGTCTCAGTGCCACTCGGGAAACAGAATGGACTGCAGCAAGAAACCTTGGAAGCAGCAAGCTGGAATGGCAGAGGCAGGCACACCGGGGGTAGCAAACAAAATGTAGCCTGTGAAAAATGCATATTTTATGATTGGCTCTTCGCAAATATTAAGCTGAATACTATATGTGTTATGGAGGGTTATTTTGTAATACTGTATTAATCCTTTTTAAGTAGTGTGTTAAATATAGCTTTAGGTTACAACACAATGTTAAAATAGAAACTATGCGATGTAAGATATTTTTTACTAGCTCAAGAAAGGGATAAGATAATCAAGAAAGTCTTCACACAGAGATAACAGCAACAGGAAACCTAAAGAGTTACTGCCTCTTTATAAGAAAAGACAAACATTCTTCCACCTTCTCTCCATCTTTATGGAACCACCAGGATTAAGGGAAAGAAGTTGACAAAAACCAGAAAAATTCTTAATTTGCAAGGAATTTATGCATCATGTATGAGATATATGAATATGCAACAGGCTATTGCTTTCCTTTGTTCACAAGGCATGTTTTTGGCAGCTTAGTGCCCAAAAACATCCAGACATCTGTGATTCTTTGCTTTTTATTGTCTCACAGTGTCCTAATCCTCATTGTCCAAATTTTTATTACTCGAATTTTATTACTATTTTTATAGCTATTTTATTACTAATAAACTTTTAAAATTTTAAAAAACAAGTGATTGGCGTTTTTTCACATAGCCGAAACTCCGGGGTGTGCCAGAAGCCGTGGGCTATATGGGTGTTTGGTTAAAGTGGAGCAAGAAGCCCTGAAGCAGCAGCAGACAACAGTGGGGCTGGGCCAGGAGTTGCTCCCCCTCAATAGCTCACCAGCAATGGTTGGTCCTGGGGTCGGGCTGTGAAGAGGGGTTAGCCTTGGCATGGGGAGACAGGTTCCCAGCGCAGCACATGCTGGCTCTGGGCTCCCAAGCAAGCAAAGGAGCAGAGAAGCAAGCCAGTAAGATCCAGTCACAGTACTGAAGGAAAAAAGAAGAAAAAAAACCAAACAGTCTCAAACCACAAGGCAACAGTATCTCTAGCCAGAAACACCACTCCAAGTGGCTGTTGAGATGACTGCCCCACTGGAAGGAAGAACCCACCCTTTGTCCCCAACTCTTGCAGGAATCCCGAGCAGCTCTCACCCTTTGCGATACTCCTGGAGACGGGGGTGGGGGGAAGGGGGGGAGGAGGGGGTGTGTGACCCTTTCCTGAAACAAAACAAAAACAGAAACATGGATATGGGATAAAAACCATTCCCAAGACATTCAATTCCTTATCCCATACTATTTGATTAATGCCTAAATTAATACATTTCAACTGGTGTCGTGGTTTGACATGGAAGAGAATTTTCTCAGGAAGTTGGTAGTCAGACCAATTGACCAATCAGTGTCATGTTTGGATATTGGAACCTGGAGTGACCACTGAAGGCTGGACACGCCTCTGAGAACACAAGGGGTTAAAAGCAAGAACTTCCAGGAGAACTGTCTTTTTGGTTCTGGTCATCAGAGAGTGCAGACCTCCCCTGCCCAGCCATGGGCTGGGTGGGGGAGGGGAAGCCATGTGGCTTGGGCAGGTAGGCCAGGGGGTGAAGGGTCTGGAACCAAGCTATCTCCTGCGGACGGAAGGGTGGAGGAAGTCTGAGATGTCTTTGTTTGCCCCCCCGCCCGCCCCCCCCCTGCCAGAAGGAAAGAGATAGAGAGCCTGAAGACACCTGAAAGTTTGCCAGCAGAGGAGAAGGGGGAGGAAGGTGCCCATCGGGGGAGATGGAGTCCTGGGCCGAGATTTCAGCTGTCCAGGGAGTCCGAGACTTTTAACCCTTTCCTGGGAAATGAAAGCTTTATGAAATATTACTCCTCCTCTGTTGCAGACGCGCCATGCGGGGCGTGCTGGATGGCTGCGGCAGGGGCTCAGCCATCCCCCTGCGAGCTCTGCAATTCCCAGTTATGGGCAGGTCCAGTGCAGGGACAGACAGCGATGACATGGGTCTTGGGGTAGAACAAGATGGATTTATTCCTGGGCTCCTGTAGTAGTAGGGACAGGCGAAGGGAAGATCACGGGATGTGACGGAAAGAAAGACCCTTCCCCCTCTCCCTGCCCCACGTTATCTATTAACCCCAGAAGCATGTAACCACACCTGTTCCAGTAGTTTTCCACTCTCGACTAACCC